GCCATTGACCTTGAATTCCCTCCTTGTTTTCTGATCTTCTATAAGAATTGCTCCAAAGGAAGAAGTCTCCTTAATTAAAAATGGTCTAGACCATCTAGATTTCAGTTTCCCTGGAAACAATTTTAATCTTGAATTGAATAGCAACACTTGCTGGCCAAGTCTGAAATCTTTTTGCAGAATGAACTTGTCATGGATTTTCTTAGTTCTTTCTTTGTACAACTTTGCATTCTCATAAGCTTGCTATCTGAATTCCTCCAATTCATGCAGCTGCAGAACTCTCTTCCTTCCAGCACTTGACAGATCAAAGTTAAGCCATTTTGTAGTCCAATATGCTCTATGTTCCAGCTCTAGAGGTAGGTGGCAGGCTTTTCCAAATACTAACTGATATAAAGACATACCAATTGGAGTTTTAAAAGTAGTTCTGTATGCCCACAATGAATCATCCAGCCTCTTTGACCAATCCTTCCTTGAGCTATTCACTGCTTTCCCTAGAATTTGCTTGATTTCTCTATTTGAAACCTCCACTTGTCCACTTGTTTGTGGATGGTATGGAGTAGCAACCTTATGCTTCACACCATATTTCATTAATATAGCTTCAAGATACTTGTTGCAGAAGTGAGTACCTCCATCACTTATCAGCACTCTAGGCACACCAAATCTTGAAAAAATGTTCTTTCTTATAAAAGAAATCAATACCTTTGCATCATTTGATCTGGTGAGAATTACTTCTACCCATTTAGACACATAATCCACTGCCACTAGAATGTATTCGTGTGAAAATGATGGGGGAAATGGTCCCATGAAATCAATCCCCCATACATCAAATAGTTCCACTTCTAGGATGTTGGTTAATGGCAGCTCATGTCTTCTTGAGATATTTCCAGTTCTTCGACATTTATCACAGTTTTCCACATACCTCTTGGCTTTGAACTTGCATGTAAGTGTAGGCCAAAAGAAACCTGCTTGCAAAACTTTTGCAGCAGTCCTTGAACTTGCATGGTGGCCTTCATATTCTGAATTGTGACAATGCCATAGTATCTCAACTTGCTCACTTTGTTGAATGCACCTTCTAAGTAACCCATCTACTCTAATTTTGAACAAGTATGGGTCTTCCCACACATAGAATTTGCTGTCATGTAAGTGATAGCCATGTCGCAGTGGTATCAAAAACTACTAAATTCCTCACAAAAACATGCAGTTCAGGGAGCAACCTAGGTTATATCTCACAAGGATGCAAATGCACATTGCTCTAATCTCAATTATGCATAAAAGGTTGTATGTTTGGGGGTTTAAATGCAGAAACTGAATTGCAAAATTAAAATGCAGAAAACAAAATTATAGAGAATGGAATCGCAGAGAATTGAAATGCAAAAAACAAAATTACAAAGAATGAAATCGCAGAGAATTGAAATGCAGCAAACGAAATTGCACAGAATTGGAACCGAAAGTTAAAATCGAAATCCAGAGCACAAAAATCCAAAACTAAGATTGAATGAAAACTGAATTTGTTTAAATCTCTTCTGCATAACAAACAATTAATCAATTGATTATTATACGATTAAGAACAATGCACAATTCAATCGAACAATGCTTCTATACAATCGTAAAAATGTGAGATCGGAAAACAACTCGGAGCATCAAAAACGTCTTGAACAAATCCGATCTGGACTTTGGCAATGAAATTGAAAGGGGAACGTAGCAGAAATCATCTTGACTTTGTAGAATCTTAAACGTCTTTCAATTGTAGTTGCAAAGGCATACAAATTCAGAATGGAAAAATGCAAGAAAAGAAGAAGAATAGTAAAAAAAATGAGAGGTTCTATTGGAAGCGGGAAAGGTATTGCAAACTGAAAAATGAAAAAATGAATCAAAAGTTCTTCCCAATCAGCCCCTGACCTCTATAAATACTATTCCTAAAAGAGCAAAAATCGAGTGGGCCAAAGTTGGGCCGAAATTAAATACAAAAGAACTGCAAAATAAAAGGAAAATAAAAACTATACAATAGTCAACTAAAAGTCTAAACTTCTAAAATTTGTAGAAAATAGCTTCGGACTCCAAACAGCATGATCCAAATATCCAAATTAAAGCCCCGGAAGTAAGGAATCCAATGAAAAATGAATCAGCCAAAAAGGATATCTACAGAAAAAGTTATGGTCAAATTAGTAAACAAAGGTCAGAATAGAAAATATGAACAAAAGTATAGTATTTACGAAAATTCCTAATTATCAAGATAAATGCAAAAACATATTAAATGGAAGAAATAAGGGAATGAAAAGACATGCAAAGGATGCAATAAGACTAAAAATGTGGGAACAAAATATGAGCTATCAAATACCTCCACATATAAGCTTTTGCAATCCCAAGCAAAAGAAAAGAAAAGAAATGAAATGAAATGAATACAAAGCAAAATTTTTCAATGGTTCCCAAAGTGTAAGTAATGTGAGCAACAAAAATCAGCCAGCAATCAAAGTATGGAAGAATCAAAACAATCAAGAATATGCTCCAACATTAAAAGTAAAGAAGAGTTTCAATCAAATCAAATTATGGATCACAATTGATAGAATTCTCACATAGATGTGTATCACTTAATCTCTCAAGTGTCTAGGCAAGAAATTTCACTCAAAGCACATCATGAAAGTAAGTAATTCCATAAGCTTGAAGAACCTCTAATTTCTACCATTTAAAACACATGCACCAAAGATCAATAGGACTTTAATTAAGCTTGTAATGTGGCTAAGGTAAAGGTAAGAAAGTGAACTGGTGTGTAAAAATCTGATCACTGGGCAAGTGTACCCGTTGTCGAAGTAATATTATTAAAATTAAAATTAAAGTACCAAGTGTCGTATCCACAGGGACTGTTATTAAGAAACTGTTCCTTAATTGCGTAATTGTTAATAAATATGAAAAATAAACCTTGTTGATGAAATTGCTAAAAGTAAAAGAATAATAAATTAAAAGGAACAGATATTCTAGTGAAAATAAATTATAGAAAATTATGACTAAAGGTATTCAATGTAAAAAGGCAAGTATCTAGACTGTAAATCCCCCTAAGTGTCCAAATAACTGAAATTCTTCTTCAACTACTTAGTTCCAAACCCTTATCGCTGCAGGAAATTCTAATTTAAATCAATACCTTTCTCAAGGATAATGATTCCTAACCCTCAGTTGATTAATCAGAATCTCTTCCTTAATTAATACTCCTAGGTTGCATTAAGTTCATTATGAATTCCATAATTAGGGTTAATCCTAATACAGAAAACTCACGTCTTTCTATCTCTTGAAATACATTCAAGTCTTTTTAATTGAGCAATGTTAAATTCATGCAAGAATTTTACTCAAATTCAAACAAGAAAACAAGATAGAAGAAAATTGATACTACTCAATTAAACCCAAGAGAAAGGAACATGAAATAGCATTAGAAGAATTCCAGAAAATTAGTCAATTAGGATTCATTACGTCTAGATACTCAAAGGAAAATTAGAACCTAAACATCTTCAAATTAAAATTACAAAAGAGATGAAATAAAATGCTTAATCCCATCCTCTTGCCGTCTCTGAGTCTTTCGTCTCCAAAAACTGCCTCCCCAGGTTTGAGTTCAGTTCTCCTTTTATAGGAATTATCCTAGGGTTAATTTTCTCGCAAAAGTTAAATTTCTGACGCACGTAAAAGTACACGCCCAAGTACACAGCCATGTACTTGGCCGTGTACATCTCTGTTTTCTAATAGACGCCCTTCAAAGCTTTCCATAAAAGTACACGCTCATGTACACGGCCATGTATCTGGCCGTGTACATCTCTGGTTTTGATGATACACTTCAATTGACGAGACTAGTGAGATACACGCTCATATACATGGGCATGTACTTGCTCGTGTATATCTCTGGCTTCATTATGTGTTTCAAGTCTCAATATCTTTTAAAGCTTTCACTTCTTGATCCTTTTTCCTGAAATATAAATAAAATGAAATTAATAATAGTAAATTTTATCAATGAATAGCTTAAAACTCTCAATTATCATTCATGAATTACAATGTAGGATCAAGTATAGAAAGCATTTATCATGAACAAAGCTAAAAACCAAAGAGAAACGAAGAGCAATGGGGAATGGATTAAAAACAAGTAAAAGCAAAACAGCAACACATCACAACAATCAAGAACACATGTACAAAAGCTAGAAATAGAATAGTACTTTTACTCTCTCTTTTTTTTCAAATTTTTTTTTACTTTGTAAGTACTGCACTATTTTTATACAATCCACTTTTCTAGTCAACCTACAATGCATCAAAATATGCTCAAAGCAATATGTACAAAACACCCCCACACTTGTTTTTAACCAATTCCTAAAACAATTCCAAAGCTCATCTATTCCCAAAGGTTGGGCACATCATGGTTTTTCAAGTTACATGGCTTGTAATGAGCTGCAAAATCATCAAGAAAAAGGTCAATAAGGCTCAAAGGGGATAACCAATGGAATACATGCAAGGTAAGTCAATTTGGCCAAGTGGCTAAAATCAAAAGAAGGCCTAAATCATATCAAAAGTGCATGTGAATAGATGACATCAAAAAGAGTCAATTCAAGTTCTAAAATACCTACAAACATGAGTGAATCACATAAGAAAGAAGATAAGCTCAAATCTCACTAAGGCATGTATTCTACCAATTAATGATCCACAACCTAATCATCATGAAAAACTAGCTAAACTCAAAATGCAAGAAACACAACTTGATGTTATGAAACTTCCAACTAAGAATGGCAAATGAAAAGATGCTCACAAGAATGAAGTCTCTAAAAGCAAGGGAATCCAATGAAAAATATGCTAAGGACTACTCCGTCCCCCCACACTTAAAACACACATTGTCCACAATGTGGGAAAAGGAAATATAAAATGTAAAACATGCAAACAATCCAAGAATAGAATGAAAACTATATATGAGAAAGTAAAGGAAACTATAAGGAAAAGAAACAAAGATCAAAGAACACAATGCTCCAAACTCCAAGTGCCTAAGAAAACATATCCTCCAGCAAAGTAGGCTCCACTAAGGATAGATCAACTATGTTCTGAGCCGGCTCCACTGGTCTACTCTCCTGGAATAATTTCAGTTGATGACCATTGACTTTAAAAGTCCTGCTGGTAGCTTCATCTTGAATCTCAACTGCACCATGGGGAAAAACATGAGTAATCACAAAAGGTCCATCCTATCTAGATCGAAGCTTACCTGCAATCAATTTCAATCGAGAGTTAAACAATAACACTTTCTGGCCTACAGAGAACTCTTTCCTCAGAATATATGTATCATGAAATCTCCTAACTTTCTCTTTATACAATCTAGAATTTTCATAGGCCTGCAGGTGTATTTCATCAAGCTCCTGAAGCTGGAGCTTCCTTTCAATTCTGGCCTGCTCAAGTGCTATGTTACAACTCTTCACAGCCCAATATGATCGATGCTCAATTTCCACCGGAAGGTGGCATGCTTTACCAAACACCACTCGAAATGGAGACATGCCTAATGGTGTCCGATAAGCTGTCCTCTGAGCCTAGAGAGCATCATCCAGAAACTTACTCCAATCTTTCTTATTCGGGTGCACTAATTTCTGCAACAGGTGCTTGACTTCCCTGTTGAATACCTCAGCTTACCCATTAGTTTGGGGATGATATGGTGTAGCAATTCTGTGTGTAACCCCAAACTTCTGGAACAAGGCTGCAATGGTCCTGTTACAGAAATGACTTCCCTGGTCACTGATGACAGCCTTAGGCACACCGAACCTGCAAAAAATATGAGTACGGAGAAAATTCGAAACAACTTTAGAATCATTAGTTCTAGTGGCCTTTGCCTTCACCCATCTAGACACATAGTCAACAGCAAGTAATATGTAAGAGTATCCAGCAGAAACAGGAAAAGGACAAATAAAATCGATGCCCCAAACATCAAAGATCTCACAGAAAAGAATGGGCTGTTGAGGCATCTCATGTCTCCTAGTAATAGTCCCTCCCGCCTTCTGGCATATCTCACAGCTCTCAGAAAATCTGGCTACATCTCGGAAAATGGTAGGCCAATAGAATCCGCTGTCCAAAACTCTCCTGGCTGTCCTCTGCAGTCCAAAATGGCCTCCTACAGATGTGCCATGACAAAAATACAGAATGTCCTGAAATTCGTGGTCAGGAACACATCGACGGATGACCTGGTCATTACAAAATTTCCACAGATATGGATCATCCTAGACATAATATTTAGCATTACTTTTCAATTTATCGATCTGGGATCTAGATGCATCAGGAGGTACAACAGAAGTAACCAAATAATTCACAATATCAGCAAACCAGGGAATAAAATCTATAGAGTTCAGAGCAAATAAATAATCATCAGGAAAACTATCATGAATAGGTAAAGGGTCTATAGTCCCTTCAATACGACTCAAATGATCAACAACCTGATTCAGAATACCACTCTTGTCTTTTATCTCAATATCAAATTCCTGCAGAAGAAGCATCCATCTAATCATAGGTTTTGCATCCGGCTTCTTCAATAGGAATTTCAGTGCAGCGTGATCTGTAAAGATAGTAATTTTAGAGCCAAGCAAATAAGAACAGAATTTATCTAGTGCAAAAACAATAGCCAGCAGCTCTTTCTCAGTGGTGGTATAATTTATCTGGGCTGCATCGAGAGTTCTAGAGGCATAGGCAATAACATGTGGAAAGTTACCGACTCTCTGAGATAGAACAGCTCCAAGTGCATAGTCAGAGGCGTCACACATCAACTCAAAAGGGAGCTCCCAATCTAGTGGCTGCATGATAGGTGCTGTGGTGAGTCTTTTCCTCAAAAGCCTCCTTACACGAATTAGAGAATAAGAATGGTACGTCTTTCTGCAGAAGACTAGACAGCGGCAGTGCAATGGTACTAAAATCTCTGATAAATCGCCTGTAAAAACTTGCATGTCCAAGGAAATAACGCACCTCCCGCACAGACGCAGGGTAAGATAGAGAGGAAATAACATCAATTTTCGCCTTATCAACCTGTATTCCCCTCTCAGAAATAAGATGTCCTAAAACTACACCTTCTTTTACCATAAAATGGCATTTCTCATAATTCAGCACGAGGTTAGTTTCAACACATCTCTCTAACACCCTGGTTAAGCTATGCAGACATGAATCAAATGAAGAACTGTAAACAGTAAAATCATCCATAAACACCTCCATGCAATTATCAATTAAATCAGAAAAAACACTTAACATACACCTCTGAAAAGTGGCAGGTGCATTGCTTAGGCCGAATGGCATCCTTTTATAGACAAAAGTGCCAAAAGGACAGGTGAAAGTGGTCTTGTGCTGGTCCTCAAGAGCAATATGAATCTGCATGTAGCCAGAGAAACCATCCAGAAAACAATAATGGGATTTACCTGCTAACCTCTCAATGACCTGATCAATGAATGGGAGAGGGAAGTGGTCCTTTCTAGTAGCCTAGTTGAGTCGCCTATAGTCAATACACACTCTCCATTTGTTGGCGACTCTGGTGGCAACCATCTCATTCTCCTGGTTCTGCACCATAGTAATCCCAGACTTCTTAGGTACCACTTGGACAGGTGACACCCATGTACTGTCAGAAATGGGGTAGATGATCCCAGCCATCAATAGCTTGGTCACCTCCTTCTTCACTATATCCAGAATGGTAGGATTGAGTCTTCTTTGGGGCTGCCTCACTGGCCTAGACTCATCCTCCAAGTGAATCCTGTGCATGCATACAACTGGACTGATCCCAGGAATGTCACTCAAGCTCCAACCGATGGCTTTCTTGTGCACCTTCAGGACTTGTAGCAACTTCTCTTCCTGATCCTCCAGAAGGCTGCTGGATATAATTACCGAAAACCTCTGCTGCTCTGCATCTAGATAAGCATATTTAAGGTGATTTGGCAGAGGGCTCAACTCTAATGAACTTGGCTGCTGTTCTATAACTGATAATGGAGACTGTGGGGCTGCAGCAGCCATGGATATCACAGAATCTAGATCTGTACCTGCAATGGAAGGCAAAACAGCAGAAGATATGGCAGTATTAATCTCAGCACAAATGGAACAAATGCCACTATCACAGGTGCATCCTGGTAAAGCATCTAAATCTAAATCTAAGTCTGAAAACTGAGACAAGTCAAAATCTGAATCTACAGCAATATCAATATTAGAATCAAAATCAGAATCAAATTCAGAATCAATTACATGAACTGTATCAAAATCTAAATCAGAATTTCTATCTACTACATTAATAAGAAAAACAGAAAAATCAGAACACTTAGAAAGCATCGAATGGCTCTCAGTCGGATGTCTCATGGCATCAAAGATATTGAAATGAACTGTGTCATCTCCAAACTCTATGGACAGTGTGCCAGTATGGACATCAATCTTTGTCTTCGCAGTCATCAAGAATGGTCTACCCAAAATTAAGGTCGAGTTCTCATCTTGCATATCAAGAATGTAAAAATCAGCCGAAAAAATCAATTGCTTAACTTTTACCAACACGTCTTCGAGCACTCCCAAGGGCTAAGCTGTGGTTCGGTTTGCTAACTGGATAATCACGTTGGTTGGTTTCAAGTCTCCCAAATGCAACAACTTATATACGGCTGAAGGCATAACATTGATAGAAGCTCCCAAATCCAGCAAGGCACTAGCAAAAGAGGACTCTCCAATTGTGCAGGGAATGGAGAAAGTTCCTGGATCACCACATTTCTGTGGAAGGCTAGACTGGGACAAGGATGAAACTAGCTGGACATTCCTCTTCTTTAAGTTCCTCTTATAAGTACAGAGCTCCTTTAAGAATTTCGCATATCGAGATATCTGTTTGATGGCATCCAGCAGAGGAATATTAATCTCTACCTTCTTGAATATTAATCTCTACCTTCTTGAAGGTATCCAACAACTCTTGGTCCATTTCTATTTTCTTTGGTGGAGGAACTCTGGTTAGGAAAGGAAGGGGAATCTGGTGATGTGGTAAATTATCTCGGACTCCCTCTTCACTTCCACTACTTTTACTAGCCTGCATTGGATAATTGGTCAGTTCCTTGCCACTTCTTAAAGTAATAGCACTTACATTACCTTTCGGATTAACTATAGGCTGCGAAGGAAGTGCTGCAGACCCTTGCTGTTGTAAATTATTCACTGAAGTTGCCAGCTGCCCAATTTGGGTATGTAAGTCCTGAATGGTGGCTGAAACGTTCTGCTAAAACTGCAGACTTTGAGTGGCCATTTGACTCATCAACTCCTCCAAAGAAGGTCCACTACTGCTGGGCTGTGGAGGAGGTTGTTGTTGAGTCTGATTTTACTGTGCAGGCTGTTGTTGTTGTCTCATAGGAGGAGGCAGATACTTTGGTTGTTGTTGCTGCACAGGGTGATGTTGTGGCTGGTGGTATAAAGGGTGTGCAGACTGCTGCTGGTACACATATTTCTGCTGTTGCTGTGGTGCTGGAGGACCATACCTCAGATTGGGATGACTTCTCCACCCTGGATTGTATGTAGGGGAGAAAGGGTTATATTGCTGAGGTTACTGCTGGTGACTCTGGTAAGGAAGGTGTATGCCTGCTACCAAATGAGAAGGTTGGGCTGTCTCCTGCAGCTGAGGGCAAGAATCAGTATAATGGTCACCAGCACAAATGCCACACGTCTGCTGGATCTGTGGAATTGCCTGGCCCATGGCTAATTGCCTCACCAAAGAAGTCAGTTCTGTAAGCTTGTTTTCCAGCCTTTGGTTATCAACTGCAGCAACGCTGCTTGTGGATGCCTCATGTACATCTCTAGTGGTAAGATTTCTGGAACTGAATTGCTGAGAATTTTCTGCCATGTTAGAGATTAAATATCTTGCAGCTGCTGGAGTCTTGTCCATCAGAGCACCTCCACTAGCTGCATCAATCATGCTGCGCTCCATAGGCATCAATCCTTCATAGAAATATTGAATCAAAAACTGCTCATTTATCTGATGGTTTGGGCAGGTCGAACACAACTTGTTGAACCTCTCCCAGTACTCATATAAACTCTCTCCTTGCAGCTGTCTAATGCCACTAATCTCCTTCCTTATTGCTGTTGTTCTGGACGTAGGGAAGAATTTTTCTAAAAATCGCCTCTTTATGTCGCTCCATGTACAGATTGAAGTTAGCTGCAGGTACAACCAGTCCTTGGCTATGTCACATAATGAAAATAGAAATGCCTTCATCTTGATAAAGTCCTCTGGCACATCCACTGGTCGCATGGTAGAACACACCACATGGAATTCCATCAAATGCTTGTGTGGATCTTCTCCTGCAAGACCATGAAATTTAGGAAGTAAATGAATAAGACCAAACTTCAATTCATAACTTGCTACTCCCCCCTGTAATTGTGGTATCTGAATGCATAAAGGTTGATGTCCAACATCAGGGGCAGCAAGCTCCTTCAAGGTTCTCTCTTGGTTGTTTGCCATGTTGCTTGTTTGTGAAGTAAACTGACTATGAGTAGTGTTGTGCTCTTTCCTCAATTTCAAAAGCTT